TACTAAAAGGCAGGTCTAGAACAAACACTGTAAATCTATCTTACACGACCAGCAGATGTCAAAACAAATTAAAGGATTCGAACCATGCCTACACAGCAATCAGGTTCGTGCCAGCACAGGCCGCTTCATAAATATTATGTATAAAAAAGGGGAACTAACATAATCAATTCAGGCTTGCAGTGACCAGCACAGATCAAAAGTCAAACATAGGCCTAGGGCCTACATTAAATTAACTCGCAAAACCTTGACCACCACCGGTCGAAACAAAAACCCTGCAAAGAGAGTTCAGAGGCAAATATTATAGAGGGCATTCGCTTTATATCATAAGTCAAAAATTTCTTTCAATTATTGTAGGTGTTTTAAGTATTCCTGGACAGATTAAAAAATAGTTATTAGAGAAGCAACTAATGTGGAATTCTTTTGAAAAAAAAAAACTCAAAATTATAAATTATCACATTTATGAAAAATTCAACTTGTTTTCCTTTATGATGATCAATAAAATCCACATTTTAACTTTTTACTTTTCTCATTTTTGTTTGTTTTTTGTCTTTTTAATAGAACGTTCGTCTAACTTTGTGTACTTATAAGTATTGTGCTGTTCAACTTTTTATCGTTTACAATTGTGATTGTAAAACTTTACTCTATATTAAAAAATATCATGCTTAATCCAGCAAAATATCATATTAATATTCTCCTCCTCCTCCTCCCTTCATCATCATTATAATATATTTGTATTCTAAAACAAAAAAAACCATTGAATTTTGAAGGAATTTAGTTATTAACCGATCTCCCAGAATCAGGGAAGTGCACTTTTTGAGCTTCTAGTAATTTCCAACCTCATTCTATGTTTTAAGGTGCCGATGACGATGATCATGTACGTCACGTCTACACTGTAGTTTTATTTTATATTGAATTGTTATGTTTCCTCTAAAGTGAAGTGACGAGGATGATAAGCAGGCCAGTCATAACTTACAACGATCTGGCCACCAACAATAGGCCTAATAGTGATTCGACCCAACGGAAAATACTGCTTGACTGTGGTGGTAATATGGCGTCTACGGTCGGGCTGTTTCGTGAAACATACCCAGGAGGAAAAGAATTTATTATCCATTCATTTGAAATCGATGACCGACTCGCTCCTTATTTCAGTCCATATGGTAAACACCACCTCCACTGTCCTCTCGGAGTCGCAGATTCTGATGGTAAGTTGAATGATGATAATAATAATAATAATGATAATACAGTAGAACCACTCCTTTGGGACACGCCTATTCAGGGGACACTTTTCCGTGAAGAGGGGAAATACATCTTTTAACACTTCTGCCAATCCCTATTAAGAGGGCAACCCTGTAAGGGGAAGGAGACACTTTCTGAGTGTGCCAAATGGTCAAATCAATACATTTTAACCCCTATTAAGGGGACACTAAATTTTTTTTCTTGTATCAAAAAAACAAAATTAATTCAAATTCATATTTTGGCACCTTCTGAGCAATAAACGTAATCATCAAACCAGAATTTTTTCCTCTCAATATCTAGAAACATTGGACATTTGGTTAAAGGATTAGTGCATGTGTTATTGTACTTCGTAAACAGTAATACTGTACTGAACTGATTTTTTTTAAATAGACCTATTTTAATGTATTCTGAATATCAGGTCAAAGTTCAAGTCACAAATACTGACGTATTTGTGATTTGAACTTTGACCTGATATTTATAATACACTGAAATCTCTCTATTTTTATAATATCAGTTTACACTGAAGGAGTTAAGAAACAAAGTTTAAACTTATACTTAATACATTGATAATATGTGTATCTGTGTACGGTACTGGTATATAAATTTCATAATTAATATTAAGTTTTCACGGGGTCATCCGTCGGTCAAAGTATGACCCCATCATACCTTCATTATTGCTCTAATTACCTTGCAAACTTTTATATATGTAGTAGTATAAGCAATTTCATCAAATGTTTAATTTGGACTTCCTTACTTTAAAGAATGATAAGATACGGTCCGGAAAAGCGAAAATCTATTTTCGGACAATGCTTCGGGGGATTTATATATTCTAATAAAATATGCTACCCAAATTTAAATGGTACCGGTATATCTTGAAAGTGAGGCCGAATTTCAGTCTATGAAATGAGGTGTCCCCCCCCCCTCCCATCATTAGGAAATTGTTTGAAAAAAGTAACACTAAGACAGTTGTATACGGCATTCTAATCTAAAGAATTAGATTGTGTTGCTATTGTTATGGAGTCTTGAAAAAATATACTGTATTCGATTCGTAAACACGTTTTTTGCCGAATGACTATATTATTATATATTATTATGTTGGATATTATGTTGGCATTAATTGATTATATACTCATAAATAAAATTCGCAAATACCTATGTACGGTAACTATACCAAAACTACCAAAAGATTCTATCATTTAGTGACCACATGTTCACCACGAGCCTTATTGATGCGCGCCAGCGTAATAAAAAAAAATCAACACCAACTGAAGTACTGTAGTAATAAATATAGGCCTAGATATAATCTTTTCTATTTTTTCTTTCTTCTCTCTCCCCCCTCCCTTCTCTCTCTCTCTCTCTTTTTTTTTGAGGGGGGCATGGCCCCCTGGATCCGCCCCTGTTTTGGTCATAAAAAGGGAAATGCTTATTATTATTATGGTCAGTCCAAGCCCTCTGAGAACATCTAAAAATTAGAAATAAAAAAAAAAAAAAAAAATCGAAAGATTTATTGTCAAAAGAGTATAAACAATTTGGACCCCTGCTTTTAAACTAACCCAACGGTGGTACACATCTTAGCTGACATGGCAAGTCAATTTGCATGCGTCAAGGGCCCCGACTGTACTTTTGAACCGGGCCCCTCACAACCTATAGTTACGCCACTGAGTCTGAGAGTGCCATTTCCGGCCATCTAGAGGTGCTATAATCATAAAGTTTCTTATTACAGCCCCAACCATAGTGGGGCTGATGTGGTCTTCACCCTCCACTTGTGAAGATCCCCCCCCCGGACTCTTTACTTCGAATGCCCAATTTTGTGTGTACCAATTTTCCTGATTAGTTTAGAACCCCGTTCCGCAACTTTTTAGCCCACGGCCCAAATTATATGTCAAGCACTCAGACGCGACCCATCAACCTGGAAGTCAAATTTCTCACCTGAATTTTATGGTGAAATGATTAAATATACGGTATTATTATTTTTTAGTTTGAGTGAATTAAGTCAATAAATCACGTCCGTCGTTTTATACGCGCGAGGGGTATCAGAAGAACCCACTTGATTCGTTTGGCAATTTATTAAGATACTCCAAAGATTACCCATATCATCAATTAAAACCCATAAAAATGAAAATATAACTTTGAATTACTCCTTTAACAAAGCACGTAAAGTTATCAATGTTTCAATAAGATTTTGAAAAATAAATGATTTAGCAAACATTTCACTATAGGCCTACACCATAGGCGTAGATCCCAGGGGAATGGGGGATATATCCCTCCCCCACCCAATATTTGACAAGGGGGATGGTCCATTGTATCATCCCCCCCCCCAATATTTTGACTATGTATGGGATAAAATGGAGCTTTACACACTTCAAAAGACTGTCACAGAAATAATTTGCACTGTCTTATGCGCTTACAAAGATAAAAATTAGCATAATGTATTAATGTTGATAACAAAATTATTTTATCTGGTACCAATCTAAGCTCATCTTTCATTAGATGTTAGATGTGCTTGCAAAGAGAGCCACATTTCACACTGAAGGGTGTGTACGACATCAGTAATGTTATGTCAATTCCAAGAATGTTTAAGGTTATACCGGTTGATGAGGAATTTATTCATTAGGCCTATAATAGCAAATTGCATCAATTTATTTTGCAAAAACAAGGTTTCCAGCTTCAGAGTGGGGCACATCCCCTGTCCGCACAAGGGCACACATTGGCGCTAACACCAGGCGCGTAACAGGCGTCTTGGGTCAGAGTAGGTATTTATTTTCCCGGTTAGTAATTTACCATACCCACCCCACGCCACTCCCCATATAGAAAACAATACGACATAGGGCTTATCTTATTTATAATATAGGCCACGCACGTGTGTTTGAAACTAAATATAAGCATTTTCATCATGGTTTTTTTTTTATTACAAACATATTCTTTCACCATCAATACACGAGGCCCTTCTTTTAGGTTAAAACAATCTATCTTAAATTTGTCTTTCTTGAGTTTGGGACTATTATGTGTTTAAATAACTTAAAAGAATAAACCTAAAAAAAGC